TGAAAAACTACATAAAGCATAAAATTTAGCAATAATGTAACATTACACATCACATCAAACTATGATCTCATATGGACACCACTTACTTACAATGCCTATATTCATGCACAGTGCCTTGCAAATAATTTCACTCCTCTCCAGTGATTTCATTTTTCAGAATTACACGATTTTTTCAAAATATTTTTATAAAAAATGTGTATGCTTATATTAAACACTTGTATGGGTGAAACAAGTTAAATATCAGAATAAATTGCAAAAATATCAAAAACTAAAATATGTTTTCTATGTATTCTTCCCCTTTCCTATGGTAAAAGAAAATTTGCTCAAGAACACAAAATTATTTTTTAAAAGTCACACAATTGAATGCCCTCCGTGTATGGTAATCATCATTCACATGATTTCAGAATAAATTCATCTGTGTCAGGTAGCGAATTTCAAGCAAAGATTCAATCATGAAGACCAAAAAAATCTTCCAGAACAACTGAGGCACTAATCAGGAGAAGAATGCAAAACATTTTAAAGTATTTTTTCTTTCAAATGATCAATTATTTCTCTTTTGGCATTTCCTTAATCTGGACAAATATGCTACATGTTAAAGAACATTTACCCTTCAGGACCTCACGCCAAAACAGTGGTCACATTGTACAGAGCTACCGGTTGTTTTTCACACTGCCAGTCCCATTGTGCTCACAGGAGTCTAATTAATGATGTGCTTTCACTGCAAACTTTAATCCCATTCTGAAATGGAATTCTTAGGTGTGAGGGAGACAGGTGGAAGGAAGGTGACTGGCACATAAAGCATATAACAAAGAACAGAGCAATTGGGAAAGACTGTCCAAACGAAACAGACCTGTAGGACAGGTACAGTATGAAAAGCTGAAATCTGAAAATGAAAGGAGAAACCCTAAAAAGAAACAAGTCTTCTTGAGAGAAGGCGTCATCCATGTTTAAGGATAATTTGTTTATGTATTCTGTGGCTATTCAATAGCCTTTTACAGAACTCCAAAAAAAAGAACACCTGTTCAATAACTTTAAGTGCAGCCAACTACCCCAGACTTGAATTTTTATATTGTTTTCTCATTACCCTAGAGCTCTCTACAATCAGGTGGCAGCAAGTGACATTTTATCAAGCAGAGTAAGAGGAACAAGGGATCAGTATCCCTTTTCATTGATAGAAAAGCCAAAGCATACATTGATACCTCATTACCATGATGACACAGTGAAATATTATTATTAACATTATTATTATAAAAAATAAATATAGGTGAAACAGAATATTTTAAATGTGTTCTAAAATGTGTAGACATTATAAATCCAATACAGTATCGCTTAAGTGGTATATGTAACTTATTTCAGTGAAGGACCTTACCCTCCCATATTTTGACTCTGGAAAACCTCTACAAAATTGAAAAATCGCAGACATACTGTACCTTCGAGTCCTAGATTTTTGGCTGGAGTGTGCTCCCATGTTAGAAAACCCTATGTTCCTACCAGAGGACACGCCAATTTTCCGGCTGTTGACGGCTGGGGCCGGTTGGGTTGTGGATGTCCTCGGGCTTTTTCGTTTTAGCTTCTTTTCCTCCATTTGGTCGCTCTAATATTGCACAGCTCCCACCTGCCTGAAAGACAACGACACAGATTATCAAGAGAGATGCTGTTGTACAGATGACACAGTTGCGGATCCACACAGCAAAACTAAAAAAAAGGATGTCGACGTACTTGCAAAGTGACGCACCGAGTAGGCAGTAAATACCAAAACCAACCTTAATCCTACTTTTAGTAATCCTACTAAAGATCTACTGTAAAGCACATTTCTACAGCTAAGCAAGTTACCCAACCATAGCAAACAACAAGACTCGAGAGGCATGTCAACCGAGACTGTACAACATATAGTTACGTGTAATTAACTGTATGAAAACGAAATACAAAAATATTAACTTTAAACAATATAACGTACACATAACAGAAACAAAACGTCGCTAAAGGGAAAAGAGTAGAAAAAACTACGTTTTGACATCATCAAACTTCGTCTCTAACCACATCAATTAATGCAGTTTGAAAATATGCATACATTTCTGTTACATTCTCGTGATCATGGCATATCTATCTGCTCCAAGTCAGGTACCTGATTATAAAAATATACTTTTCTTGGTTTTTCACATTCCTCTTCCGTACTGTATGTTTCTGCAATGTCCAACAGTACCCCGACGCCGTAAAGTCAGGAAAAGATAAGGATTGTGGGAAATGTAGTGCTCCAGCATCTAAAGTCCGGCAACAGCAGAGTGCAGCACACTTCAACTCCCAGAAGCAAATGAGAATAGTATTGTCACAACAGCTAAAAAACATTTTAAAGAAAAGAAAATTATAGTTGTACTAGTCCTATTGTAAACCTTTTCATGTATTCCTTTACCTATTTTTTCAATACGTTTATTAACAACTTCAAATGTAGGAATATTAACACAAAGAAGATAGTTCAGGTGGGTAGCTGCGTCAGCATGCGCAGGCTGCAAGGGAACAGGTAATAGGTTTATTCCATGCTCAAAAAAAGAAGAAAAAAAACGGCCGAAACATTGTGTTTTTTTAGCATGGAATAAATCTATTACTTGTTCCTCCACATAAAGATGTCATCTGTTTTTATGTCCAGTGATTGTGGTTACAATATTACAGGCAAAACTGATTTTATTGTCACAGGATATAGAATTCGCAGTCCAATCTGAGGCACTGTAAGCAGGCTCAGAAATTAACTTCTTACAGTCCTGATGTATGCAGGTTTCCTGTGCAAACAGACTGCCAATGCATGCTCTCTCCACCCTTCAGAATGTTCTCTTCCAGGTGATAAATGACCAAAAACCTAAGCCCAACATCAGCCATGTATGATGTACGAACACATGGGTTGATTTCTCTAGGAGCATCCCTAAATACTTCTTCCCAAACCTTTAGTGGAAACAAGCCCAAAAATTAATGAGCATTGGTTCTACAGAAGGACATGATTAATGGAAACTTTTCCTTAAATCTGTCTGGTTTCCAGTACCTAAAATATCTGAGGATCAGCATCTCCAGAGAAGGGGCCTGGAAGGGGCCAGCGAAACCATGGATCTTGACATCAGATGGGGCTGCCTATGGCAAAGCTGATGGATGGGTTCTCAACAGAATCACACCTTTCCTGTACCAGCTACGGTTGTACAGTATATGCAGACATAATTCAGTGGAAGACCATCAACAGCCCACTCCAAACCTGGGTAACCAGTGCTACAGCCTCACATCTTACTTATCAGTGCAGAAGAGGAAGCATCTTTTTGAACAGTATTTAATAATCTTCTACAAATATTCAATAGGCCAATCAATATTGTAATACTAATCTTGAAGCTTGTTCTCACGGTTGTCTCTTTTTTTCCTATTCAAAATTACTTAAAGGGTAATTATTACTCTTTAGTAAGGATTACTGTGAAAGGTCAAACATTTTTATGGTGAAAATTAAAGGTATTCTAAAAATAATTATATTTACCATATTTAGTTGTGTTCTTGACCTGTTGCACATAGGTAGTTTATTTCCTTAATAAATGGAACATGGTATTTTCTAGGAACATGTCTTTAGCCACCAACAATAACAAGACTAGAACACAGAACACTTTATTTGATGGAAAGTTAGCTAATAAATATTGTAAGGAAACTATACTCTCAACAGCACACTAATAAAATAACATTTGACAAAATATTAAAACTTTGTTTACACATGGTTACACTAAATCATGGTTAAATATTTGCTAGCATAAGTAAACTAATTTTTAATGGACTCAGGTTTGTTAAGATCCTAAGTGAGATACATTTCATTGCTGCTATTTTTAATCATGTAATGAACTTAAATGTACTGTCTAGTTTTTGGCTGTTAGTGATGGTAACCAATGTCTATTGCCTGCTTATCTACTCAAAGCCTACAGTCATGTGAAAGTACACCCTCTTTCAATTCTGTGGTTTTATATATCAGGAGATAAAAAAAAACATCTGGTCCTTACCAGGTCCTGAAATTAGGTGACAACCAACAGTCCACTATGTCATTATTTAACAAAAAATAAGCCACCATGCAGAAGAC